GAATATGGGCCCTACCTGGAATATCAAAACTCATTAAACTTTAATAAAAATTAGCAGCTATAAATCCATGTATATACTCGTAAATAGGAACATAATGTTGAAGACAACACCTTAAAGGTGTTCAACATCAACTTCAAATTATAATATTTCTTGTATTTCCTTGAAAGGTATTTATAATTAATCAAACATATTTCTGCCAGTTCATGATGCATAAGTGTGCATTTCAGATATTTAATAGAGTTACAAAGAAAACTGCTCTTTTAAACATACTTGGAAAACATAAATTATGCAAGTTTTGACAGTTTAACTATGTTAAGCAGAGAAGCTATTTGTTTTCCTCTTCGGTCACTAAAGACAATGTACACCAAAATTAAGAATACCAGATAATTCTGTGTTACTGATTAACTAAAATCCAAATACAACATAAATAAAAATCAGCAATTCTTTATGTACTTACACCTTTCATCTTTTATACAAAAATCATACAAAAACTTCTCTTATCCCACATCTTACATTCATCAACATGGACACAAATACATTTAAGTTATCCATGAGCAAAGCGAAAAAAAGAGAAAACGACTTGTGTAATGTGTGTTCATGCAAAGTATGATATATTAACTAAATCTCCAAAAAACATTTACTTTTACTTCCATCTTTGATGATAGAGTAGAAAAATGAATCACACATTATTACACAAAGAAACATTATCCACCGAGCAGCCAACAAAGTTTCATCAGTTTGGTCTTTCTAAATGGCATTCAGAGTCTCACTTACTTCTTGGGTAAGACCAGAAATATAAATATCCAGAAGTATAATGGAGTATAAAACTCCTCATGCAACTACATCAAATTCATCAGCAATTTTGTAAAATATAGGTGAAAGCAGCTTCCTTTCTTACTATGGAGTCTGCCAGTCATGTGACCTGATGTTAGAACAGAATATAGAGAAGTTCAGACATTTTGTCAAAAGAGCAAGAAAATGGCAGTGGCATCCCTGACATATGTACGATATGTTAAAATGGTTTAGTTTCATCAGAACTTTATTACGTTACTTCTAACATTTACAGCTCCGAAAAAAATTCATTTCCATCTTCTAATCTTTGAACAAGGAAAGTTTAAGAAAAATGAATTCTGAATTAACTGTTTCAATAAGAAAAAAGTAAAGCTATCCCTGTAACAGGCTGTGAAGGCCCACAGGGTCATGAGACATTGAAGGTCCCACATTTTCTAGACAATCGGCTCAAAGACGGCAGTAAGGTTGTCAGCGTTACGCACCAGCCGCACTTTACCGTTTCAATAACTGATTAAATTCTATATATAAATTACTTAGCTTATAACAAATTATGGATGACTAAAAAATACTTCATTTAGCTTTGTATGAGTTTCCATTTGCTAAACAATCCAGAAATACAACATATACGAAGGGGGACCCAAAAATAACCGGAACCGACCTGTTGCGCGCGCATGCTTTGTAGTTACGAGTTGTGCTGCTAGGTGGTGTTAGCTGGGGGTCTCCCGCGACTGTTAGTGAGCTGGCGTCAGTCTGAGTTAAGTGGTTTGTCTGTGGTGCTCTGTTGTGTGCGTTCCTGTTTCAACCCTTTGGCGATTAGTGAGATGGCCGACCAGAAGGAACAAAGAGTGTGCGTGAAATTTTGCTTTCTGTTAGGGAAAACTGCAGCCGAGACTGTTGGGATGCTTCGGCAAGCCTTTAATGATGATGCTTTGGGGAAATCACAGGTCTACGAGTGGTTTTCCCGTTTCAAATCTGGCAACATGTCAACAGAAGACATGCCACGCCCCGGGCGTCCTTCGACAGGAAGAAATGACGAAAACATTGCCAAAATCAAACGTGCAATTGATGAAGATCGTCGAAAGACCATTGACCAACTTTCTGAGGAAACGAACATCTCATGGAGCACGGTCCAGCGAATTTTAACCGAAGGTTTGCACATGAGACGGGTGTCTGCAAAATTTGTTCCTCGCTTGCTCGGAGATGACCAAAGAGAAAACCGCATGAATGTTTGCCGCGACTTGAAGAGTGAAGTGCAGAACGATCCAGAATTTCTTAAAAGAATTGTGACTGGCGATGAGTCTTGGTGCTACGGGTACGATCCAGAATCAAAGCAATCATCAAGCCAGTGGAAAACTCCAACTTCACCAAGACCGAAGAAAGCGCGTCAAGTGCGATCCAATGTGAAAACAATGTTGATTTGTTTTTTTGATGTGAATGGCATTGTCCACAAAGAGTTCGTTCTGCCAGGACAAACAGTGAACCAACATTTTTACCTGGATGTGTTACGAAGATTACGAGAGAGTGTGCGACGAAAACAGTCCGAAATGTGGAGAAATGGGAACTGGTTGCTTCACCACGACAATGCTCCAGCCCACACAGCTTTGACGGTCCGACAGTTTTTGACAAGCAACAACATGGTGATTGTGCCTCATCCACCTTACTCACCCAACCTGGCTCCGTCGGACTTTTTTTTGTTTCCACGGATAAAGAGAAGTCTGAAAGGAAAGTGATTCCGTGATGTGGATGAAGTCAAAGAAAACACGCTAATCGCCAATCGCTAATCTCACTAATCGCCAAAGGGTTGAAACAGGAACGCACACAACAGAGCACCACAGACAAACCACTTAACTCAGACTGACGCCAGCTCACTAACAGTCGCGGGAGACCCCCAGCTAACACCACCTAGCAGCACAACTCGTAAGTACAAAGCATGCGCGCGCAACAGGTCGGTTCCGGTTATTTTTGGGTCCCCCCTCGTATAAAGGAAAAATTACAAAATTTGTTCCCTGAAAACATCTACTTTAATAACTTCATGGAAGAATATTTACTTATTACAACCAATCAGTGCAGTCACTTCCCACAGATGATAAAGAAGTAAAATTCCTAAAGATACTAAGTGCATTTAAGGCTGTCTCCATAATTTATGGTTCTAAATGCAGGTTATAGATATTTTCCAACAATGAATCAATGGTGCAGGTTACAAATTGAGTTCCAGCTAAACTGCTAGCCATACAGTACATCTGTATACCTGCTGCCATGAAGGTTCAAACACCTCATCTCATCAGTGAGCATGTATCTTAGTCCTGACTGTAAATACATCACAACTCTAGGTATGTCAAAACTTTTTGTTATTCTCAGTAATGATGAAACAGTTATGACAACAGGCTAACATTTCAAAAATATAAAGAAAACAGGAACTTAATTTTGAATATGTTTACCATTTTTAGCAACACAATGAACCTCATGATTTTAAGGGACAGATATTTTGATAAATTAATGTTGTTATGCTTCTATGGTTAGATAATTATAAAAGAGGACAGAAAAACATGTATTAACAGTGTAATGATTTCAGTGTACTTTTATTTGCTGATTATGGAAATGTTTTCTTCGGCAAACTATATTTGTAGTCTCTGAAAAATACAAAAATGTGTTTTATATTACAAAGAAAAGCAAATGTGCAGCTATTAATATAGCGCCAAACGTCATCCAACCACTGGTCAGAAGACTGTCATGTAATGCACTGATTGGTCCAAAATCTGCCATGTCATATCTGTCTGGCTATCTCACAGCTTGTTGTATAGTAAGTTCTAAACCTTTCCCTTGAATGCAGTGGGCTATACAGAGTTTTCAACCTCAGACTGAAATTTAGTACATACAGGTTTACAAGAATAACTTTTTATCATCATGCATATACATATGGTAAGGCAAAGGTAAAGTTGCCCCTGTGCTTAACTAATTAAGCACTACACCACGAAGATGTATGGGGGTGTGGATGTATAGATCCATGCATTGACATCAGCACTAGTTGCAGGCGAGTTGTCAGCTTCACACCCTGGCTGTTTTACCATCGGTACCCACTGGATGAGTCCTAGAACTAGTCTGGACAACGTGGAGCGGAGAGAAATCCTGCCCCTACCAGGATTCAAATTCAGACCCCTCAGCTGTCTAGATTGTAGCCAGCTGCTATACCAACCATGTTATCCCAGCTCCTGCATATACATATGGTGTAAACTGAAAACTCTTTTTATATTAGTGTTAACACACTAGTTTTCCATAGGAAGTTTGGTCAAAAAGTGTATTTCTTCAATTAAAATTTCCAAAATAATGCTTACATTTACTCTTCAAATTATGTGCTCTACTAAATTGACCAGGAAGGCTATGGTGAGTATATAAACACATCCGGCCATTAGCGAGACAAACTCCACTCTCACGCACGTCTCATAAATGTCTTGCAGCCCTGGGTTAAAATAGAAAAACGTGCAAAATAAAGAACAAGGAACATATTCCAATTCAGATGATCATTTTTATTTACTTATTTTAATATATGGTTTGACTGCATAAAATTAAATTTTTGACAGAAAGTTATCATACACAAAAAGGTGTGACTAGTATAAATCAATGAATTATAACATGACTCCTCATACTGGGAAAATGGATTCTTAAAAATTAACCTCTAAGAATTTTTAAATAATTATATGGATATGACACAATCAGAAATCATATGTTTTATAAGTTCAAAAACTTGGGGCGGGTGACATTTTTTTAACTCGTCATATCCATTCACACACACACAGTACTTCTAGTGATTGCAAAAATAACAGAGATTTCATTGTACTTTACCTAAGATCCACTGATATTTTCAGAAAATTTAAATTTCTGTATTACCTCATCATCAATTAGGGGCTGAGTTCAAACTTGATGTGACTCCAGAGTGTACAAGTGGATCCCACATTATGGATAACGACTGTTACCGTTTGCGGTAAGGTAAAGGTAAAGTTGTCCCTATGCTTAAGTAAGTGAACACTACGCCATGAAGGCATATGGGTGAGTGGATGTACAGATCCACATTTTCTTGACCTCAACAGTAGCTGGAGGTGAGAGTCAGCTTCACGCCCCAGCCACTTTACCTCCGGGGAAAGAGCCCCCAGTAGCCATTGGATAGGAGGTTGGGTGGACCCCATAGCCGGTCTGGACAACATGGAAAAGAAAGAATTCTTGATCCTACCAGGACTTAAACTCTGATCCCTTGGTTGTCCAGCCCATAGCCAGTCGCTATATCGATTGTGCTATCCCAGCCCATACCTTTTATGGTAACTGTACAAAATCACTAAAATTCTGAACTGTTTCTGCTACCATGTCTTCACCCAATGAAATGTTCATTACTAACTGCAAGCCTGGTTTACAAAAATAATGATGCATATACGTGTATGTGCCAACTGGAACACTTGCAGTGATATGACAGATAATTTGGTCCAGGAATGATAAGTTAATTAATAAGTGAATTGAATATTTGGTCAGATTTAATGCCAAGCGGACGTAAGACATGCCACTATGAGGTGCTTATAGTTTTACTGCAGTTACTGCCAAGCAGATCAGCTGCTTCTGTAACAGCTGTACAGCTGTTTGAATACAAATAAAGCTTGTTCAAAACTAAACAAAAACCTGTAACAATAGTGTGACTTGAATTTATGTTTGCACCAAGAGGAGTATTGAGGCTGCAAGAAGTCACATGGATTGAAACCTCTTCACATCTCTTGAACTCTCACACTTCCCCTATGCCCCTGTATCCCCTTCCTGCCATCCTATCCATTCTGTTCTAAACGTCTGTAATGATAATTATGTGACAACCTTCACTAGAGCCAAGGACCTTTTTTGGCTTGCTGACACACACCAGATAGGGCTGGAAAGAAACCAACAAGATACAGAAAGAAGGAAGTGTTGAGCACTCTCATCCCCATTGTCCATGAGACTTCTCTCTGTGCCCTCTATATAGTAAAAATATATATTTAGAAGGTATAGTCAGAAACAATCTTCATCATTCATTATGTAATATGCGTGCACTTATACTGCCTACCAGACATACCAACATAATTCAGCCTCACCAGACTGATGGGGGGAAATAAATTCTAGACTAAAATGCTTAAAATGTACTAACTTTATCTAATGTCACAGTCTTCTTTAAAATGTTCAAGAAAAAACTTTGCCTTATTATAGACTGGTGTGTACTCCAACTCACCCACTGCACAGCCCCCATCTGAACATAAGTAATCTACAAAACTACAAACTACCTATCAAATACTGAGGTGCATTCACTCTTTCACCTACTCAGCACTTCAAATTAACACCAAAGTATAACAAGTACAGAAAATATCCAGAAGTAAACATTTACAGCATATGTACAAAGAAATTTATTAACATGCAGTACCCCAGTTTAATAAGTAATTATGAATCAACCTGTAGTTATCAAATCTAACAAGACTTCAAAAACTGAAATTAAAGAACTGCAAGGTCTGATAATACAAAGCTCTCTTACAGATGTTCAAATGAGGTGCACAGTCAAGCTGTACCACAGTAACAAATGAATCTTGTGTATACCACTGAATGTGAGCCAGCCTGCAGTGTTTGAGACCCAAAAGTCAAACATGTGTCACACTATCAATCTTACATTTATTGCAATTAAACAAATATCATGCCATTACCAAGTCCTGTACAAATGAGACAGAAGAAATAAATCTTGTAGTAGCACTTCATCCTTCTTTCTCTCTGTAAATCCGAATGATCATTCAAGACACTTCCACATGACCATTTTCCTACACTCATGGGTAAATGTTCAGGACTCATGAAGCAAGATATTTGTTGCACTGTGAATGTCATTATTTGCACTGCGCAAAGCACTGAGCACTTGTGCACGTTCAAATCCCATTTCCATTAACGTCTGCACTTGCTCCTCAGATGGCTGTACATTATTCTCTAGAAAGGATATAAGAAATGCAATTATTTAATAATCTGATCTCCCATTCTTCTAATAGAAGAACATGAACTGAAGACTGAAAGTTAAGGGGAATATATGCATCTATAAAAATGACAGGCCTCTGAAAACAACTCTATATATTGCAGCTTTCATAACAAAGGCTGGTTCTGCTAACTTGTTAACTACAGAAGTCATTTTTTATCATGATTCTGACAACAAATATAGCAGCAATACAAGAGGCAATAATGGTTAACACAATGTTGTATGAACCAAGGCTATTACCTTATGTAGACAAATTACCACTGTCACTATGAGAGAAAAATGGCGAGATACCAAAACCCATTGAAGTCTGTCTGTAATACATGAACAGAAATTTAACACACCAGCTCTTTGTTATTAGATATGTTAGTAATAAAAACAACTGATGAATGTTTTTATTTTCACGTGGACATATTTACTGGTCCAAGAAAAGAGAACACACCAACATTACAGAAGTAATGTGACAATTGAATTGCAGTCCTCTAGCTTATGTTATCATGTAGTCCAGTAGGTGGTTATCAATGTTCTGGAGGAAACTACTTCCCTGAATATGGAGGTTTCAGATGGAAAAGTTGATAACTACCTACCAGAACACATGCTTTCATAACCAAGAAGAACATAATTCAAATCTTCACTGCTATGAAAACCTAAAATTTATTAGAGCTTAATAATCAAGACAAATCATCATAGTATGAGAAAAAACCAGATTACTGTAAATGATGTACTTTTCAAAAAGAATAAGAACATACTAGATATAAGCTATTTAATCTTCATGCTACTAAGCTCATTATGTTATGGGCACTTGCAATGTGGTATCCAAGCTATGCCTGTATCATTATGGGTGAAACCTTTAAAAAAAATTTCTCTGGCACAAAATTTCTAAATGTATTCAAATTGGCTGGCTATTCATTTTCATATATCATGAACATCATGAATATCAAGTGAGACCTCTCTGCTGCTTATGTATGAAATCTACAGAAGAAATAGGAAACTGCTGAATCTAACAATGAGAATACTCTACATCAGTGATTCTCAATGTTTTCTATCTCACATCCCTGTGGTTTCATTTTCTCAAAAAGCATAACGCCACCTCAGGAAAAATAAACATTCTTCTCTTCCAGTTAAGTGCACATTCACAATTATGCATAGTTTAGTATCATATTAATCATTAATTTATTTTTGTGAAATCAAGATCCACTATATTAACTAATATATATAACTAATACTAATATAATATCCCACTAAAGGGATGCCTCTCACCGGTTGAGAAACATTGTCCTGTATGCCTCATCACCTGACCTGGGCTATCACACTGATAAAAATGGCATCTATAAGTATTCCTGAAACCATCTTTATAATAAAAGGCAAGGCCTAGTATACAGCGGTTCAATTTCTTCGTGATTTCCATAGAAGTCAGCACATATGGCATGGGTGGGCATTAACTATTCAGCAGTGAAAGAGCCAAATGTCTGTATCTTTCTCTACATACAAACTGGAGGAAAGTCAATATACATATAATTACAAAACAAATAAAGTAAAACTGTTAAGCATGTGGTGTGTTACAAAGTAATGAGATTAATTCAGAAGTGCTAGAACTGAGAATACTGCAGCACTAAGACTGTTACAAAATGATAGCTACATCCCTCCTCTACATTAAGCCCAAGTTTGAACTTGCTAGCACAAATACACGGGTTCTGTTGTTGTTTGTGCAAATGTATATTGTGTTAAAGGATCACAAAAATGGAAAACAATAATGTGATGAATGTTATGCAATCAAGTTTACTGTCAAGCTGGGGAGGGCGCTACAGATACCTATGAAAAGATTCAGAAAGTGGTTAACGATTCAACATCACGTGCTCAAGTATTCCGGTGGCACAAAAACTTTTCAAACAGTTGAGAAATGGCACAAGATGAACCATGATCTGGATGCCATGCCTTCGTGAGAACAAGCAAAAACATCAACCATGTGAGGGTTTTCATTTGTCAAGATTGATGTTTTAACAATTTGAATGATCACTGATAAAGTTAATATTAAAATGTATGGTCAAACAAATTGTTACACAAGATCTGAACATGAGCAAAGTGTTTGCAAAGATGTTAAAAAAATTTCAATGATGATCAAAACATGTGTCAAAATGAAGCGTCGGCAGAAATGCTTAAACAGCTCAAAACTGTACCAGATTTTCCTAATCAGGTCATAACAGGTGATAGAAGTCGTTTTCCTTTTAAATGTGACCCTGAAACCAAGAGGCAGAGTGAGGAATGGCACACACCAGTCTCCAAGACAGAACAAAGCTCACACAAGAAAATCAAAAATCATGACAATGGTTATAATTTTTTCAATTCTTGCTGCATTGTTCACAAAGAATTTGTACCACCTGGTGTCACAGTGAAAGAAAAATATCACCTTGAAGTTCTGAGAAAGAGGGTAATGTGAGTTTGCTAGGAAATTGCAGACGATTGGCTCCTTTGAGCTTCATCACAGCAATGCACCCCTAACACAGCACTGTCAATTCATGAATTTCTGGCAAGTACATATCTGTGCTTCTGCAAATTTGTCACCGTGATTTTTACTTGTTCCCAAACTCAAAATCCACATTTTCAAACACCTGACAGCATTTAGAAGACTATAACTGATGTCATCAAGACACCAACAGAAGCTGACTTTCAATACTACTATGAGATGTGGAAAATTTGTTGGGGCAAGTGTGTTGCATCAGCAGGATGTCAATTTGAAGGGGACAATGTTTATTTGGAGGAATAACTGAATAAATGATTTTGTACAAAATTAATCTCATTATCTTGTTAACACCTCATATATAGCCACTGCATTCGGAAGCTTCCCCTCCAACACACTACACAATGTGAGAGAATATAAGGGCTACCAAACCCATCATAAAGTCATTATCCCTGAAGATGGCAACTGCAAGGCTTGCCAAGATGCTGAAAGACCCTCAACATTTGAAATGGCTTAACTGTTTGATTGTCAAGTTTGCTTTTCATTTCTAAACAGGCTAGATACAAAACAGTAGCAAATAATAAAAGAATCAAAGTATCCACTCTCAATTAATTAGGTTAAAGAATATCCTATTGTGAAAATTATGGTATAAATAAGAAACTGAACAAATTATAGATAATTTGGATGATGATAATAATAATAATAGTTATAAAAATACACAAATGTTCTGAATTAGCTCTCTACCAGCATTACTTCAGATGAAGTACAATACTCTGCTTAATGGGACATTCACATAGCCACTTGCTTCATGACACAGAATCCCAAGATTGAAGGATGAATTTACCTGCAGACATAACAGGTCTGAGGACCCAACCAATGAAGCAGAAGAAGCAAATGAAGAATACAAAAAATTACCTGCCCCAGTACTTCTTATAACCTGATATGGAGAGAGTGTAATTAAAATACCCTACCTTGCACGTCTACAGCATTGTGTCTTCTATTTCTAAAGAAACCGCCAAAGAGTGTTCCACTCTCGTTAGGCCAGTAATTCTCAGGACCCACCAAAGTTTCTGCAAAGCCTTGCCCCTGCTGTGTAAAGATTTGTATGTTACAGATTAATACATCTTTACTGCTCACAAAGATGGACTCTATTCAAATTTTGTCTATTTTAACTCATGCCAAGAAACTACACATTTCTGTTCTCATTTCGAATTATATAAAAAGGACCTAAGTCTAGTTTTTATGCAATGAAATTTAGTGTCACTGTGCCAAGGTCATAAGTCAGATTTAATAACATCTCACAAGTATTACGGTCTTTACTCAACTTATGCTCTTCATAATGATTTTTGACTTAAGTCCTTCTCACTTAGCACCCAACAAAAAAAAATCACACAATTTAGCAAAGAATACACATAACAGATATATGATAAAAGACTTCAGCCACAAAACTAGAGATTCTCAGGTATCTTACAATTGTGAGTTACTTTACAATAAAGGGAAGAGAGCATGCAGTGATTTTTATGGAAAATTTGTGGTGCTGTAAGTAACACACAACCACAAATTTATAAATGAGAACGAATTATTACATTATTATAATAATAAAACATGAGAACATTTTACTTCATTGTATTATACTGTCACATGTTAGAGTGACTCTTGACAGGGTTTTGGATAGATTGGATTTATTGACCACTTTAACACACAATTTGTGACTACATCTAATTATAGTGCCATTAGTAATCTCCACACTTTACAAATCACTACAGAATGTAGAGTTTTCCAGCCTGCTGTGTCTTGACCGGTCATTCCCTGGTAACAGCTTCTAACACTGAGGATTCTTCAACTGCACCAACCCACTCTTCTCTTAGCAAATTCGCTTACAACTGAATCAGTGCTTCAACTGGCTAACTCTCATTTCACATCAATCTCCTAGTCTTTTCTTCACAGACTGGCTTTCAAGTGACTCTAGTTTGGCTGGTGTCCTCATTATAACCCCGTTTTTTTAACAGAGAGCACAGAAAATACTGTTTCCATCAGCTCCTCTATGGCTGCAGTTCAACCACTGCTTGTTAAGAATCTACCGCCTAGCAATAGCTGTTGTCTTGCTATCTGTTTTGTGGACATTACCCGGAAACGGTCTATATGCCACAGTACTTAGAAATCTTGATTGTCTCCTGAACCTTATGATCATGGTAGGGGACACAGGGCACTTCTCTTCCCTTAACACATGATGACAAACACCATGATCTCTACTAGAAGTAGGAATTATATCAGTAAGTACAGTCCAGTGAAAGTATGTTCACACTTCATGGTATACAATTCTCTCAAAATGACATGATACCTACCTGCCTACGGACATCACGTGCACGGTTCAGTAACACTTGCTGCTCCAGCAACTCTAGCTGCTGTGCCCGCTGAATTTCCAGGGTAGCACCAATAGCTCCTTCTTGTGGTGCGCCTGAGCGAAGCAACCAGCCAACTGACATGCTGCTTAACTTTGCCATCCATCGTGGCACTAAGAACCACTGGCGCAGGTACAAAACATTGTATCGATACATGAGACCAGCCACCTGTAAAGAAGGGCTCTCTCTCTATATGTGAATTTTCAAAGAAGTATCTGTTTGAGTTAACAAATACCAAACATAATGCATTCTTTGTTCACTCGATATCTGTAACAAAAAATTAACTGGGTATTATACGTGTGTGTGTGTGTGTGTAATTATGGCCAATATTTTACTAGAATCTATCACCCATCTATCTATCTATCTACTGAAATTAATTTAGTTTCTTCTATGTTTTAATAACAATGAGAAACATATATATGAGCAGGTAGTGTGAATGAAATTTGTTCTTTAACTTAGTATTAAAAAAAGAAATTCTCTGTCTGTGCATTAGTCAAGAACACCAATAACATTTAAACATTTAAATACAAGTGAACTAATGAAAGTAAAATAAACTTCAATAAAGGTAAAGGTGACACTTAACCACAGGGAAAGAGGGCCCGATACCCATTCTATAAGTGGCTGCATTGGCCCCAGATCCAGAAGAGACATCTTGGAGGAGAAAACTCTCTTGCCCTTGCCAGGAATCAAGATTTCCAAAACTGTTCATTATTTTTCTCCTTATAGCACAGAATGTAATAAAATTACAAGGACCCTACACATACCCAACACGGAGGCAACAAAATCTCCTTTAACATTCATATATCTGGAAAAAAAAAATGATTGACAGCTCTGCACATCAGTGTTGTAAATGAAATATACAAGAAGATAATATACTATTATACTTTGCTGTGCTTACAAATGGAATCCATAATGAATTTTGTTCAATTTATATCAAAAGAATTGAGTCTTTTTATTTTGTTCAATTTATATCTAAAAGAACCGAGTCTTTTTAATTTAACTTTTCAAAGCTGAAAGCACATACTAACTTTTGGAGAATATGACAGTAGTGGCCTACTGTGATTCATTCATTTTAAAACAATAAATTCAAAATATCATACAATCTAAAATTACTGTTGCCAAATAAAGGCAGCACTGCATGATGAATGGACAAATTATGTAAATGTGGTCACACTATTTTAAAGAATATTGTGTTCAGGATATTGCATAAAACAGTAGATTCAACTACTGGCAGTAAATTTATTCAAAATATGCAGAAAGAAAGAAATCTCAGTACTGGCAAGAATCTTGGAATGGCATTAGATGTAGATACCATATGTCAGACTTATTCACAGCATAACCGCCCAATGAGATGCAGAGGGGGCTGATTTATGACTCTTACTTTTGAGGAATCTTGGAGTGTTACTTTCAAATTCCCCACAGGCCTTCAGGGTTTGGTATTTATGAACAGGGGTACCCTTACCTTTGAAGATGATGACAGTAAAGTTGTACTTATAACTACGTATCACATTATGAAGGCATTATGAGACTTGTGGAAATAATGTTAGAGCTTTCTAAAACTCAGAACTATACAAAGGTGAACTGTTGGTTCCACACTCCAGTTTTTTACTCCCAGAACTTCCTAGAAAGGTGAATGTACGTCCACTAAATTATCTAGCTGGTAAATACTTACAATGCCACACAGGCCTGATATGGCCGTTGCTGCTGAAGTCGAGCATACTTGTAGTCCCAGGAAATATGTTAATGTTTTGCCTGTCACTGGGATGCCGAGGATGTGGGTCTGAGCTACACGAGGAACGTCAAAAAAGAAACTCACAAACAAGGGAAAGATGAGACCATACCTGTAAAAAAAATATGATCATATGGTTTTAATTATTATATGGCCCTTCATATGCATATAATGCATGCAATAAGAAAGACCTAAGGAAATGGAAGCCATGTAAATATAAATGATCAAGACGGAGAACTTCAGGAAGTACCGTTAATGTCAGTGGCCATTAATAGCTGATCTGAGACAGCACTTGGAACTCCAAGTCATTGCCCATAACCTTTATGCAACGGCTTCACACAATGACCACAGTAATAAAGTTAAATTTTGAATGTACTCTCAAAACCATCCTATCTATGAATTAATACAAAAGGAAATGTGACATTTATTTCAGTAATTTAAAGTGTTATAATCCAATCCTCATTCACGTATGATTCTTCCATATTTATTCTTCAAATTGAAAAAGGTAAAGGTAAAGTTGCCCCTGTGCTTAACTAATTAAGCGCTACAACACGAGGGCATATGGGGGAGTGAATGTATAGATCCACATTTTCATGACCTCAGCACTAGTTCGAGGTGAATGGTCAGCTTCATGCCCCAGCCACCTTGTTCCCAAGGAAAGAGCCCCCACTACCCATTGAATAGGAGGGTGGGTGGACGCCAGAGTCAGTCTGGGACGACATGGAGAAGAGAAAATTCTTGACACTGCTGGGACTCGAACTACGACCCGCCAGTTGTGCAGCCTATAACTAGTCACGATACCAGCTACACTATCCTGGTTCTCTAAATTGAAAAAAAAAAAGTGTCTTTAAATTCTCCTGCATCGGGTGCTGAATTACATAAAACTGGGAAATAATACAATGCATTAGGAATACACACAATTTGCATGTGAATATTCATAAAGTCAAAGTTAATATTTGATGACTATCTCAAAACATGTAATACAATTAAAATTCATGACACACACTTATCTAATTACAAGTTAAATATTCTTCCTGAAACATTAACCCTTTCTGTGCTGAGTTTATTTTGGATAATTTACGATGATGAAGAATCAAAGAACATAAATAAACACTTATAACCTAACTTAATGCAGCCAAACCATCTAACCTGTCCTCACTTACTTAATGTAACTTAATTTACTATTTCATAGGACATACATGTACATCTCTAGCATGCAGAATTTTAAACCAGTATACATAAAAATATTTTTAAAAATGTATGGTAATGGCCAACAAGCAGTGGATGCTCAGTCGGTATAGTTCGCTTGCAGACTAAGCCACAGAGATTGTTTTTATGGAAATGGTTAAATTTATTAATATCTCTCAATACTGCAACTTCATCAAAATAAATTTATTCAGACTGGGACCCATTCTGTGCAGACAGACATCAAAGCTAAAAGATATTTATGCATTACTGTAAAATGTATTTAAAGACAAACTGACTTGTTATGATATTGTTTCATGAAAGTAATATAATCTTATAAAAGCTGTAAAGTCTGAAATTTGGATAATCATTTCTTCAATCAAAGAGCAATTGCTCTTCATAAAATCTGTAATACTTGCACCAAAATCAGAAGACACACTACTACTGGTTGAGACATCCACCAAGCATCACAGCCACTGATGGCAACAACGGCCATTAGTTACAGCCTCAGCATTTTTTACTTTGTTTCAAGGGTGGACCTGATGGTCTCAGGATATGGCACTGGTCTCTCATTCACAAAATTCTTAGTTAGATCCCCAGCTAGTTCTGTGCATAAATTTCTTCTGTCCACAGACTGAAAACTTCACGTCTCCCACAGATAAAACTCTGGAAATGTGAGGAATATCAGTATCACATTCCACAAGACTGTTATCATCATGACCTCACAAGTCTACTAGGCTAGTGTTGAACTTACGGTCCTGGTGGAAGATATCCACCACTGTGCAGATCAATGTCAAGATGCTGTAGTACCAGAATAGCTGTTGTTTCCAGGATTGTAGCAATGGTACATGTCGCAAGCAAGTATGACGCAAACTTATGAGAGCCATATCGCCTTTCAAACACTCTGCAATAAGGGATGAGCAACAATTAAACAATAAAAAACGTTTCAATAGGATTTTTTTTTCTTGGCACTACAGCCCCAGTGGGCCTAGGCCTACCTCCATGAACTTCTCTGTTCAATAGGATTATTCATATATAATTCTTTAGTTATGATATATTTAATAATGCTTGGATTACACAGCACTGAACAAGAGGATGATAAATGAATAATGAATCAGAATGAATGTGAATGGAAACAGTTGTGGCCTAATTAGAGATATTGTTATGGCATTTGCCTGGAAAGACTGAGAAAAAAAAATCCATTCGTCAGATTGCCAGTCCCCAGGCTGAGATTTGAATCTAGGGCCTCCTGAAGCAAGAGCACTAACCATTCAACTGAAATGCTTGGCAATTATCCACATACAGAAATCACTGTTTCTAAATAATTACACAACAGTGTCACAAAACATAAAACAAGAATTTATGGTGAATATTATTACCTGAAATAGTAAATTAAAAGTGCACCACAAACTAAATCCTTTGTATCAAGGAAAGTTATTCTAGAAGTAAGAAGCCTCCACACCTGAAATTAAAAATAAAAAGGTATGAGAACGGTACGTGTCATCCACGGAACTGTTAGGTTCCAGATGGTCAAATGCACTCTGTGTACTGTGTGCATCAGTTCCTTTTTGTCCTCTACTTGCTGTCTCATGCTGTGGAATGCATCTCAGTATGTTATGGTACAGCAAGTATCCACCTAACAGAAACCACTGACCCCCAAGTTCCTTTACCCAGTATTGTCATATGAATTATGGTAGGAATTGCAGGTGTTTTTTTCTTTCGTGTGTGTGTGTTGGGGGGGTGCAGCAGGAAAAAGTGGTCCATGTGCACTGCACTGCGGTATTCACCACTCCTATCCCTGTAACTTCCAGTGAGAACTCAACTTCTTTGGCAACTGAATTTCCCATGCTCTTCTTTCCAAAGATTTTGTTATAGATAGTGGGGCACAGAAACTTCTTTTTTTGTGAAGACACATTGTGAAGGGAGGGGAGGTCACAGAAAAGTTGGGATAGGCTCGGGGAATGCAGAAGTCGCAGAAGTTTCTGTCTAATAACCCTCAGTAGGAAACATGAGGTGGACGAGTGAGCAGCGTGCGTTTGCTTTCGAAGCCTGTTTTTCAAACAACCATTCCTACATGGTGGTGCAGCCTGCGTTCCGTACTGACGTCGGAATTAAGCCCAGAGGTCTGGTTCCCGACCGGAAATCGACTGTTTTGTGGGTAGAGAACTTTAGGACAACCGGGAGTGTGGTGAAAAAATCATCAGGATGACAGTGGACCGTTACAACGCCAGAAAATGTGGAGGCAGTTTGACAGTCGATTTTGAGATCTCCCAAGACACTCTGCTCACAAACATGTAGTCACCCTAGACATATCCAATCGTTCAATGCGCCGAATTCTTCATAAACATCTTCATTTCCATCCCTATAAGATGGTTGTTGTGCAAGAATTGTCACCACGTGATTTCCAGAACCGAATAATGGCGTGCGAAACGTTATTGGAAATACAACTCTTTAATGAACCGTCACAACACAGCAAATAGTAAAACATCAAAGTCAGCGTACAGCACACAAAGTATATCTAACGACTGATTCAGTGTTTTTGAAAACATCATTAATATTTTATCTTGTTATAATACTTCCAATTTTTAATTTTTATATAATCTGAACTTTTGTATTTTTTACATAAGCAATTTTAAAATTGTACGATTAATAGTGTTATATCCATTTTATGATTGCAGTTAAATGGTAGATTTTTGTTGATATGTATTTGCCTGATGATGGCCAATAGTGGCCGAAACATGTAGCAAAGCCACAGCTGTATGCTGACTTTGATGTTTTACTATTTGCTGTGCTGTGACGGTTCATTAAAGAGTTGTATATTGTAGCACAGCAGGATGCATGAAATTAAGGTTATTGGAAACTTTACCCCCTGATGCACTTGTTTTCTTTAGTGATGAGCCATATTTTCACCTATCTGGATATGTCAACAAGCAGAATATGCGCTATTGGAGTGGTAACAATCCCAGAGAGCTCCATGAGAGGCCACTTCACAGTGATAAGGTGACAGTATGGTGTGTGTTGTCGAGAGTTGGAGTTATTGGCCCTTATTTTTTTGAAGAAGACAATCATGCAGTACTGTCGAATTCATAGCGGTATGTGGACATGATTAAAACTTTTTCGAACCAGCTCTTGAAGAAATGCATCTGGGAAATGTCTGGTTCCAACAGGATGGTGCCACGGTCCACACAGACCAAGCTTCGATGACAGTTTTGAGGGCAAAGTTCCCCGGATGGCTCATTTTGCTTCGAGGTGACATCCAGTGGGCAGTGCACTCACCTGATCTAACACCCTGTGATATTCTTTATGGGGATACCTCAAGGCAGAGGTTTTTAAACATCGCCCCACTAACCTGCTTCAGCTGAAGAATGTTATTCGGCAGGAAGTATCCCAAATTCCGGTGCACATGTTGGAATGTGCAGAGGGGAACTTCAGAAAACGGTTGCATCAGTGCAAAGAGAACAGTGGCGACCACCTTCAAGATATTTTGTTTAAAACTATATGATTTAAAACTTTAAAGTATGTCTGTTCATTAGCTAAACATAAATTTTGTCTATCAGCAATAATTTTTCTTTTATTCGCCTTAAAAATAAAAGGAAGTTTCTGTGCCCCACCCTGTACAAATACTGTCATATCATGTATGTACAGCCACCCTACAGGCCATGCTGTAGCTCAGGGAGTTAGTTTCATCAGTGACCTGGGTTCATGACAGTTCATCTGGGATTTGTAGTGAACAAAGTTCACTGGGCATCTTCTCCAAATACTCTAGTTTCCCCTGCCAATTCTCATTTCATTAAATGCTCCATTTTTTTCATGGGCCTTGTAGAATGGGCCACTTACCCAATATATGGGGGGACTCATTCTCATCCTACTCTAAGAACAATAAAAACATGACAACCCTATCTCTGGAGCACCACTTATATGATGGAAATGCTTAACTCTCCGTGAAGATGCTTTGTTTCTTTTGCAGCAATGGGCTCTCACTGTAGACATCTGCAACCGGGGTCCAAAATCTTTATGGTCAATATACAATAAATCAATCTATAGAAGGTCAAGGTTCCACATTAGCATTTCCCACAGCATGCACAATGAAAGCCACTGATATAAACACAATATTTAATCTTGGAATTTGACTTGAAGATACTTCACTACAAGACACAAACATGTAGAACCTATTAGAATATTTCTTGACACTGTATCAACTGTAAAGATTACTTGGTATCAGCTGATATGTGGGGATAAATGTAGTCTGGTAGGGATGTGGAAACAGAAACCTGATCTCAGCACTTCTTGTGAGGACTGAAGGAACAATAAATCTCAGCTGTAAACAAAAAAAAGTGAATCCAGAACAATCAGAATAGCCAATCTCATACGAAAGATATGAACTATGCACCATGTAAATTAAAGGCAAGTGCTATGCTGAGTTTGGTAGTATAAAACTAGTGTGCGATGTCAGGAAGAATGTACAAACACTTGTCACTTCATTACTCCTCACCTCCCCTTCTTTGAAGATGTCAGGCAATTTACACACCAAGTACTTGCGCATATGAGCCAACAAAGGCATATTCATGGCTGTGCATGTTAGAAACATGCTGCCCATGAGTCCCTTAGACACAGTGGCTTTATCTGGAACAAAGCAAAATGCTGACAGTTCTTTCATTGAGCAAACTAGTTGTGATTAAAAAAATTAGTACAATTTAGTTGCCATTTCTATCTCCTCATACAAGTATTCCTGTCAGAATTGTCCATGAAGTTCACAGGGAATATTATAAGTCAATTTTAATACCTTATTTTTGGTTAGTTGTCTTTGAAACTTAGGCAATTCAACTAAAAACTCATCAAGGTCATGCACTTAACTGAACAGAACAGGCTCTATAAAACTTTCCACTGTACAATGTGGAAACTATACTGTCAACTAGAAATACAGACTGGAAAGAGGACAACAAATAAATGCATCGGATTCTCCGAAACTGACAAAATGTTCGCTGTTCAGCTCAACTTACAAAATCCTGTCGTGCTGTACTGAGACAGAATAGTAGCCATGGCTATTAAAAATTATTCTATATCTACATGAACTATATAGATTCGGTTAAATAACACTCATTCTCGTTGAAACCTCGAAGTGAACACTAATGCATCAAAAGTGTCAACCGCCGACGAAATGAACGGATCCATTTTGCTGACCACATGATTTGGACTATATTCCATTGGGGCTCCACATGGGTTGCAATACTCCAATGAGTACGGCACGGGTCAGCCAGTGATCCATCNGTGCTTGAATGTGGGTAGTTCCCACACATCTATATCGCCATAGACGATATTGATCAGCAAATATTCCAGTCTCTTTAACATATAGACATATACGCAGGAATGTGCAAAAGAGGTTTGAAAAATTCAATACTCGTTGGTATTGGCAGTGATTTATTGTTTCTACATATTACCATGTGTGAATGACTAGACACGGGTTTGGAGTGATAACTCGTAACTAAATAATTACAAGGCCGAGGGCCCACAAAGGAAACTGGCAACAGCAACGCAACCTCGTTTCCGAGAATTGTTTGTCAGCCTGAGTTCAACACATGATAGTGAATGGAGCAGCGCAACAGAAAAAACGGCAACGCAACTTACGGAAGAACTGAGAAACTCGATTTCCAAGCAATGGATAATGCCAGTCTTCTCAGAATTGCGTTCGTGTCTTTGTCACCAAAAATTAGGGCAAAATCATGACATAAAGAGAGCAAACAGATGTTTTGAAAATGTGGCACAGTTCAGATATTTGGGAACTACGATAACAAATCAAAACCTGATTCAGGAAGAAATTAAGAGGAGATCGAACTCAAGTATTGCTTGCTACCATTCAGTCCAGAACCATTTGTCTTCTCATCTGCTGTCGAAAAACATAAAAATTAGAATATACAAAACTATAATTTTGCCTGTGGTTCTGTATGGGTGTGAAACTTGGTCTCTGACCTTAAGGGAGGACTATAGACTGAGGGTGTTTGAGAACAGGGTGTTGAGAATATTTGGACCGAAGAGAGGTGAAGTGACAGGAGGGTGGAGAAAACTGCATAATGAGGAGTTTCATAACTTGTTCTCTTCTCCAAGTATAATTAGAATGATCAAGTCAAATGGATGAAATTGACAGGGAATGTAGCATGAATGGGGAGAAGAGGAATGCATATAGGATATTGGTGGGGAAGACAGATGGAAAGAGACCACTGGGAAGACCAAGGCATAGGTGGGTGGCTAATATTAAAATAGAGAGATAAGATGGGATGGTATGGATTGGATTGATCTGGCTCAGGATAGGGACCAGTGGAGGGCTCTTGTGAACACGGTAATGAACCTTTGGGTTCCATAAAATGCTGTGAAGTTCTTGGGTAGCTGCACAATTGGCGGCTACTCCAGAAGGTCTCAGTTCCATGAGTGGGTGACTGAGTTGCTATTTGTCACAAGCTCTTCAATTTTATCTTTCAGATATTCCTGACATGAAGATAGATAACATGTTTTGAAAATGCGGATCAGTTGAAATATTTGGGAATGACGATAACAAATTAAAACGTGATTCAGGAGGAAATTAAGTGGTTGAACTCGGGTAATGCTTGCTACCATTCAGTCCAGAATCTTTTGTCTTCTCCTCTGCTGTTCAAAAACAAAAAAATTATTATATACAAGACAATAATTTTGTCTATGTTTCTGCTGACACAGCTGTACGAAAATTTGTATCTTGTCTTCGAATTTGAGTTCCTACAAAACCCACTAATAAGGAAAAACTTTGAATGCTCCTTCTCAAGTAGGTGTGTTTGCCCGCCATATTCGTGCACTTCTCTTCTGCAATGTCAGATAATAATATTGTCCCTGTAATGATATGGTGGTGGTTCAGAGGGCGTAAGAGGTGAATACAGGAGGAAAGGAAACATTGAGTGCACCCGTTCCTTCTCTACAATTTAAACTCAGGTGTTTATATTGTTTCGAAATAATTTAATTAGGATACAGAACTGTGCAAATAATTTTACAGATGTTGTGAGCAACTAATCGAACGTAAGTTCCCTCAGTGTGCGCCTGGTAATTTGGAAACTAGTTTCCTGCTTGTAATCGGCGATATTTCCCGGAAATCGCGGTTGCTTTGCGGTTGCCAGTTTCCTTAGTGTGCTCCCGGCTATACTGTATTAGCAGCCGTAAAGTTGCGCAAGTTATCGAATCATGCTTGCTATCTGAAGATGATTGAACGTGCCCAAGACCACAAGTGGATTATTTGAAGCCGAAAAGTTTCTGTTGTACACATGAAGTACTATTTTAAAGAGATCAGGTTTCATTTCTTCAACAGACAGCTGTAGGGTTCGTTTTAAATCAATTAGGAAGGTTGTCAGATCATAGCTTGGTATACTGGAGTATCCGGCTGGCAGAAGCACACTGTAACCTAGAACCTCAAGCATATCTTCGAAATGATATGTTGTCTCGCCAATAAAGCCAGTAATATATTTAGATTTATAGGTATCAGTCAACTGAAATGTGGGACGCAGACAAAAGTATTATATGTTCGGCACAAAATGACTATACGGGGTCTCCGAACTACCCAGAGTAAGACGTATTTTAAGTGTGTGAAAATGTTCACCGACTGACCAAGTAGGAATAAAGTGGGTTATTGATGTTTGCTTACATATTTTTCAGGTTTATCCCATGGAGAATTCGAATGGAAAGATCCAGAAACAGAAGATGAAGTGTATGCATATTGGTTTATTCCATAATAGCAAATGATTTATTGCAAAAGAAATTTGATTATGGTATGATTTTGCGTCTAGCCTTGAAACTGTGCTAAATGTGATTGACTGTACAGTGTAAATAAACCTTATCTTTGGAGAAATGCAGCACTGAAATACAGATTCTGTACAGAATTATATAATCCAAATCCATTACAATTGATGAATGAACCACAAGTGATTAAATGCAGGTTATTGTGATTACACCTTGCCCTTTCACGTAGAAAAGGCACTTGCTGTGTGTGATATATTTGTTCCTTTACTGATCTATATATATTGGCAGCATTGCTGAGAGTATGGCAGATCTGGCCATCAGCTAAACACATTGAAGACACACCACTGAGTTCATTCAAAGATCAGTGTATTTTCCATCTGTATGGGTTTCTTCATATGCTATACAGAATTATGCATTCGTGCTTGTGCATTTTCTTAGTAGAATATGGTGATTTAACATTGATATATTTGGACACTATTTTGAATAACTTCTGTGTGGTTCGCATCTTCACAACCAATTTAATACTTTACTCCAATACCTCTTTCACCTATCATGTGGCTGTTATCAAGGAGGCTCTTCAAATATTCTGTATGCATTACTTATTTTCATACATTCTTAAAAGTTGTAATTATGTGCTGATTTCTTCTTCAGGGTAAATATAACTTACATTGATAAGGATGGAAATAAGATACCTGTAAGAGGTAAAGTTGGAGATAATGTTCTATACCTTGCGCATCGGCATGGGATTGATATGGAAGGTGTGGAATCATTACAATAGTTGCTTGAATGAATATAAAACTGCAGTTTATAAGGAATAGATTTCTAATGATATTCAAAGTTACTAAGTGTATGTTGGGAATGAACTACTATTGTCAAACTTTGTATTTTTATTTGCTGCTGGTAGGAGCATGTGAAGCATCACTGGCCTGTACCACTTGTCATGTGTATGTTCATAGAGATTTCTTGGATAAGTTGCCTTCTCCAGAAGAGAAGGAAGATGATCTCCTGGACTTAGCCCCTTTCTTGAAGGAAAATTCAAGATTAGGTGAGTTCTCTTGAATTTAATTTGATGCAGCTAAATTACTGTGATTTCACCATTTGTTATCTAACATTCACTTCCTGCATTGTAATATTGAATTCTGTCTGACAGTGGATTTCAGTAAGCTAAGTGGCTATGCAGCACAATGAAGACACAATATTAATATCAAAGGTATCTGTTTCTGACCAAGTGAAGCTCTATTTGGTTTTGAAAATTATTTGAGTCCTCAGATTTCCTGAACAAGGTCATGAACATATTTTACAGTGTAATAGTATGTGACATCTCATGGTAATTTCATCCAGTAATGTATTATTGACAGTGCTTGAGATGGGAGAAAAATGAGAGTGACCTTTCAGGTTTAGAGGTTGGATGTACAGGTGATATTTTTAAAACTCTGCACAGGTTAATAAGCTCTAAAAGTTTGTGACGATGGGACATTAGTACAAATATCATGTTTCTGGACGTCATCATCGTTCGTACTGTTTTTATCTAAAACACCATCCTGTTTATATTTCAAAACAGTGTTTCAGAGACTGGATTCCATCTCCTTCATGTAAAACCTGCTCAGTTGGGCCCAATTAATAGAGTTAGTCCCTATCTCTAGGATTTTCTTGTGACCTTTCAGGAAGGGGGAATGATGTGCTCCCTTGCATCCTCATTCCATCAAATGTCCATAGGTACCAGTAAAGGTACAATAGGACATATGGAGGATTTAAGACCACAGAAACTGTTTTCAAAACTAATTATACTGTCATATTATTATCTCTGTATTACTATATTATTATTATTATTATTATTATTATTAT